CCAAAGTGCTGCTCATAGGGGGTCACATGATTGTTGGGTTTTTCTCTGTATGTATTATTGCAGGGTCGACCTTACAGTATAAATCGCCTCAATGCGTCTGTTGTTGTGATTTGGCGCTGTGTAAATAAAACTGAACTGATAGTAAAGTGGACACGAGCCCACGCTTGGTTTTTGCCCACCCAGAACACCATGTGTGTGTTTTCAGGGAGTCACGGACCAACATCCTGGACAACCTCCTGTCCCGGATGGAGCAGTACGCCAACAACCTGGAGGAGCTGGTGGAGGAGCGAACGCAGGCGTACCACGAGGAGAAACGCAAGGCCGAAGCCCTGCTGTACCAGATACTACCACAGTCAGTACTGCAATTACTGCACACAGTGCGGCTCTACAGTAAACATACCCTCCTTCTCCTCAGGTGCACCTTTGGACATCTTCCTCACAGCTGGGTTCTGAGCATGTGCAGTTGTGCGTGTGATGTATGGGCCGCTCGTCTATGACGCTATTTTTGTGCGTCTATTCTGAGCGCATGTAAATAAAATGTTTGCAAGTACAAATGTTGCATTTTGAGGAGAAAATTATTTTGCGCGAAGCAAACTCATCGCTGCATGTAGGAAATGTGTTTCAGTGTTTGCTCCATAAACACACAGTAACAGCCGCTCTGTGTGCTCACAGACGTCTGCAGACCTGCTCTCAACATCTCTGCACGCTCAACTCTCTGTACAGCGTTACAAATGTGCCACAAAACCAGCCAATCACAGACTTGGATGCAAAAATTCTGATTGGCTGTTTTGGTCTCCAATCAGCTCGACAGCTACTGTGTTCCAGAAACACGGTCCAGAGTGTAGCTAAACCCCTTTGCAGTTAGTATGTTTAATTATTTGTTTTTAAATATAGACTTTTTAAAGAGCACTGTTGGTTTTAAGCTAGTTTGAACCAAACCGCTCTGCTGGATCTGGCTAGTAGCTGGTGAGCTCGTGTGTGTGACAGCAAACACTGAAACACATTTCTTGCACGCAGCAATTATTTTTCTTCTCATAAAATAACTTTCTTCTCAAAATGCAACATTTGTCCTTGCAAATTTTTTTACACCAAAATAACAGCATACTCCTCCTGCCGTGTACTTTGGAGAGTCTGCTGGGTGGAGGCACAGATGGTTGGTGTAAACAGAAAGAGGCGTTCCCCTCTTCTACTGCCCAGCTGTGCACAGGTGTGACCCTGGGATGAGTCCGCACACCTGTAGTCCCGCTCACACACCTGCGCCTCGATGCTCGAGCCTGTCAGATATTTGTCTGAATGCTGGACGCAGCGCTCTTCGGCTGTGGTGACCCTCGATGTGAAGGCGGGGTCGATTTAAACATGGCGATGGTCTTGGTGTGAGTTTGAGGTCTGTGGCGACTAGAACTGATAATAACTTAAAGATTATTGATATCATTATTGATTATTGACCGTTGTATTGAGTCTCGCTGGGTTCTCATTGGCTCAGTGTTGCAGTCGTTACTCAAAAAAAGTAATCATTACACAGAATAAAAAAGTAATGCAGTATGTTACTTAATTACTCCCAGGAGAAAGTATTTGGTTTGAATACTCGTTACATTACTTGACTGTTACAAAATAAACTGAGTCACAGTCGCACACACCACCACAGATCCTGAAGAGACTTTAAAGCGGTCGTCATGGTGATTCTATAAACATTGACAGCTAGACACAGAGGCTGCAGCCTCACCTCTTTGTTACCTGTTCAGGCTCTGGCTGCTGGGCTCAGGTCTGCATACGCGCTGCTCGTCTCTCGGGGTTTTTGGCTAGCTTAGCGTTAGCATGCCGTCTGCGCTTGCAGGCAGTCGTGTTAGCGGCCTGGATGGATCTTCCGCTTCACTATTACGCTGTTGTCCTTAGTAATGTCTGTATCCACGCTGCACGCTGCGCAGCTCTTTTCCTCCAGCACACGAGCTGACGTCAGCTGATTGTAGCTGGAGTGCAAGAACTGAAAAGCAGGTAGACCAATAATTCCAAGGAACTGGACTACTGGGAACCGGTTCTGGATTCTTGTCCTATAGTGTTGACATCAAAGTAAGCTTTGTTGTCATCTCTGCTATATGCAGTTCAGTATATAGAGAGACAGATGACGAGGCTCCAGTTCCAACAACAATAAATACAGGAAGAGTAAGAATAAATATACACTTTGAGGTAAAAAGGGTTAATAAATGTAACGTTTACAATTTATAAAATGAGATTTAAAGTGACTTTGAAGTGGTTTAAAATAACCAACGTAGCAGTTTTACAGTATAAATGATTTAAAGTGACCAACATGAGCAGGACTGTCCACAGAGCAGCGTCTGTGTTTACAAAGGCAGCGATGTGTGAAGTCCAGTAGAGTCAGTTACTGGTTTGTGTGGGTGTGTGTGGTGGGGGGAGTGGGGGAGCTGGTAGTGAGGTCAGGAGTCTGATGGTTTGTGGGAAAAAGCTGTCTCGCAGTCTTGAGGATCGGGCCCCGATGCTGCGATAGCGTCTGCCGATGGGAGGAAAAGAGTCCGTGTGAGGGGTGTGCACCAAGCGCACATGTCAGACAGGAGCATCCAAGGTTGGATGTCCAGCAGCAGAGGTGGTGAAGGTCCCGAGGTGCACACGGACATTTTTTATGGGCGGAGCCCCCTGCTCACACACTCATGGCGCCGTATTGTCTCTCTGTCAGTTCGGTGGCCGAGCAGCTGAAGCGTGGAGAGACGGTTCAGGCTGAAGCCTTCGACTCGGTCACCATCTACTTCAGCGACATCGTGGGCTTCACCACCATCTCCGCAGAGAGCACGCCGATGGAGGTGAGACGAGTTTACCTGAGTACTTCAGTACTTCTCACACAGCTTCCAGGTCCAAAGACACAAACACAGAAAGCCAGACGGAGAGTAGCACCGGATACCTGATCCTCCCAAATCCGAGCTTGGACTCTGAAATCGGCTCTGCGTCCTGTCACGCCGTCAGGGCTGCGTGTGACTGACGTGTCAAACGCCTGCAGTGCAGTGCAGGTGTCTTATCAGACACACTGGTGTTTCTGCTGCAGGTTCAGACGCTGCATGCTTGCCACCATGTTAGCACGCGGGCTGAGGGCGGCTGGCGAGATCCATATTTCAGAATCACATGCACAACGTATTCGTGGACTGGTCGAGGGGACTAAAATCCAGAGGAAACATTTTTGAGAGTAAATGAAATGAGAAACTTTATCGATACTGCGGCTTCCTCCCACGTGCAGGCAGTGGGGTTAGGTTAATTGGTCGTTCTAAATTGTCCATAGGTGTGAATGGTTGTCTGTGTGTTAGCCCTGCCACAGACTGGCGACCTGTGCAGGGTGTGCCCCGCCTCTCGCCCTAAGACACCTGGGACAGGCTCCAGCCCACTGCGACCCTGATAAGCAGAGAACGGATGGATAAAAGGTGGAAATAGATTCCCATATTTGTACTGCAGGGATCAGTAACTCATGAGGCAGCACGATTAACGATGTCCCAGCAGACGGGGCGTCCTCGGCCGGCCGGACGCCGCTGTATACATTTACAGATTTAATCTAGAAAACTCTCCCTCACCTGTCCTTGTAAGGGTTTTTGGATAGCGACTAAGAGTATGATTTGGAATTAAAAAGGAATTTCAGTGTATTTTATTTGAAATTACAATCTAATTATATTTACCTACAAATACACACTGGGATAAGGAGGAAACCAGTCAGAAATAATTATACTGGAAGTTTAAGTAACCTGTAAGTCGTCTCAGGCAGGGCTTCATGCAGATCAATGTAATGAATATTAAATAAGGTGCTTTGATGTACAAACCTGACACCACGTGTCAGTGTTCCTGTAAGTATAAATCTTTAATCACGCTGTTGTATCAAATAAAACACACTGAATTATAAAGTGTTAACATGTTCTCTCACACACTGAAAGCCAGCGGCCTGCAGGGGGCGCTCAAACACCGTCCTTCAGTCTGACGTGCTGATGTCTCTGCAGGTGGTGACTCTGCTCAACGACCTCTACACCTGCTTCGACGCCATCATCGACAACTTTGACGTTTACAAGGTAAACGGCTCGTTTCTTTCCTCCGACCTGTTCTCAGGTCAGCTCTGAGCAACAGAGCGCATCGCCATGGAGACCAGCTCACAATAAGGACAACTTTTAGTGCGACTCTAACTGATGTCACGGTGCTGTGGCGCCCCCAGGTGGAGACCATCGGCGACGCCTACATGGTGGTGTCGGGGCTGCCGGTGAGGAACGGGAAGCTGCACGGCCGAGAGATCGCCCGCATGGCGCTCGCCCTGCTGGACGCCGTCAGAGCCTTCAAGATCCGCCATCGACCCGAGCAGCAGCTAAAGCTGAGGATCGGCATTCACAGCGGTGACAACACACACAC